GGCCCTCCGCCCATTCTGCCTCCGCCAGCATCCACAGTGTCCCAGATCCCATAGGGACAGCCCATGGCAAAGTCACAGCCACTCGCTGTTTAGAAGAAGAAGTGCTTTCTACAAATTTAAGGTGATAGACCCCTGTGGCCAGCACTTCCCAACCAGAAGTGACCAGGAAAAACACTGTGATGTCACCAGGAATGGTGGTGGGGACAGGCCACGGGGCTGGAGAGCTGCCAGGGAGTGGACAAGTTAGAACCCAAATCCGGCATTGTGGGGGCTGGGGATTAGCTCAGCAGCATAGCTCCTGCCTGGCAAGCGCGAGGTCGTGAGTTCAATTCCCGGTACCGGAAACCTCCCCTCCCCCCACCAAAAAATCTGACATGGCTGAAAAATGCAGTGGATTTTCACCCGGCAATCTCATGTGAAAATGTTTGGATCCTACACTCAAAGAAACCAGAATGGCAAAACAGACAACCTTTAAGTACAATTTGTTCTTTGGAGAAAAAGAAGGTATTTTGACCACCGAAGCTCAGTGATGCCTGTGACTGCAGTGTGTCTCGCAGAGCCTGTGCCTGGGAACTTGGTCATGTGTCACGCCATCTTTGAGTGGCGGGGCCTTGGGGAAGGTGACTAAGTTCTCAGGGACAGCCTGGAAGGGTCGGGTCCTTTCGTGGACTCTGAGTGTCCCAGGTGCACAGCGAGCCCGGCTCTGGGCTGCCCCCGCGAGCCTGCTGCGGGTGGCTACGTCCCTCTTTCTCCGCCGTGTTGTGGGGCAGCCAGGGTCCTTTGTGGGGGCCCTGCACCTTGCTGTGTGGATGTCACCACCATGTGTTACTTTATAAAGTACTCACCTCGGGAAACTTGCATGGCAGCAGGAACTCCAGAAGACAGCGCTCATCCACAGTGCCGCCCGAGTGCTGTGGGGCGTCAGGAAAGGGACCCAGAGGGACACCTGGCTTGAAATGAGGGCCGCTCAGTGCCCAGCGTGGGGCCGATGGGACATCAGTGACCCCTCCTTAACCCCCAGGGGCCGACTGCACAGAGAAGTGGAATGAGAGAAGCTTCTGCTCACCCACTGAACAGGCCCTGGGCCCGCAGTGGTCGTGGCCAGGCCCAGTCGGCCAGAGGCGCCCCCCGCTCTTCCCGCCTGTGCCCGGCGCCTGCCTGCCCTCCGGCTTCCCATTAACGAGCCACCAACAAAGCACACGGACAGCAGCTTCTTTTTTGCTTCAATTTAATTGAAATTACTTAGAAAAATAATCAGGCTTGAATGGCTCTCCCTGGAGAAGGTTCATGAACAAGCCCCACTTCGGCTGGCAGCGTGGAGTTCAGCTTTCCTGAACAGACCGAGGCACGGGGCATTCCCCGCGCAGCCCTCCACTGCGTACAAATATGGGAAAGCCCCAGTCCGCGAAGACGGCAGGTTCCGAGTCCACCCGCAGCCTCGGGGACAATGTGGGCCGCGCCTTCTGTGCCCCGGAGCGGCTGGTTCCCAAGCTGCTGGGGCCCGGTCCTGTTTCCAGTGGCTGCGAGGAGAATGGCTTTGGGAGCTGGCGGTGGGCACGTGGGGAGTGGTGTGGTCAGTCCAGCTGACAGAGGTGGAAAGGGGAGTTGGTGGAGGGGTGCCTAGGAAGGGAGCTAGGATTGTGTGTGTGTGTGTGTGTGTGTGTGTGTGTGTGTGTGTGAGAGAGAGAGAGAGAGAGACAGAGACAGAAAGACAGAGACAAAGAGACGCCTGGGCAGAGGAAGCAAAGGGCCGACTGCAAAAGCAAGCAGAGTCTCTCTGCTTTGTGCCAAGTTAACAGAGCGACTTTTGCATCCACCGTCTCAGCTTTGGTCCAGCGCCCGCTCGCTCAGCGCACTAGGGACACATGCACTGTTCCAGCGAGAGCAGGGCTTCCAGCCTGTGCGTCCATACTTTGCTCCTGGGACCCACGCTCTCCTGGGGTCCCCGCACCCAAACATGCAGGGGAGGGGACTTACCGGTGGCAGGGAGGACAGTACAGTCCCAGACACCGGGGCCCCGTGGGCGGCCCTGCTGCCCAGACCAGCTGGGGCGGGCGGAGGGGTCTGCAGAGGCCGCAGGACTCCAGCCCAAGGCTGGTAAGCTGGGCGTCTGCAGCCAGAGGGAGGGTCTGGGGGATGTCCTCGTCCCTGTCCCCGCTCTGTTCCGTCAGGACCTGGTTCCTGAGCCGCAGCGGCTGTGGGAGGACAGAGGCGGCTCCGGTCTCTTCAGTGACGCTGCGCCTGAGTTCCTGGCACTGACACCTTCTCTACCAAGACACGGTGCTTTCCGCACTCTCAGAAACAGCTGAATCCGTTTTTTGTTGTTTTAATGTTTACGTTGTTAGAAAATAAAACATGAACCCAGAACAGAACACGAGGAGGAAGAGCCCCCTCGTGTCCAGAGAGAGAAGCTGATGCAGGCTGAGTGGCCCTGAGCACTCGTGCACGGGCCCCGGGCGGGCACACAACACGGGCAGCGTGCATCTCCGTGTGACAGCCAGACAAGCAGCAGACGATGCCACGCTGGGAGGCTGCACCTCCTGAGCTGCCTGACAGCTGCCGTGGGGGCTGCCGGGCCCTGCGCGTCACCCTGCCCCCTCCACCAGGGACCTGTCCACTATGGGAGGATGGACCCACTGCCCGTGGCAGGACTGCACTCCCGCAAGAGCTTAATTCATTCCCTAAAGTACCGCTGTGGCGAGCAGCCAGGTGGAGGCCCTGGTGCTATTTTGGGTTTGCTTGTTTGTTGTGTTGGGGGGCAGGGAGGCGGTTTTATCCGTACAGGCCTCAGATATGCTCCCACCCAACCAAGTGTGTTCTGAGGCATGTGGGCTCTCTGAGGCGACCTGCATATTCAGGATGTGCTGCCCACTTGGGGGTGATCTCGGGATGTGGAAAGCCCAGCACACATTCAAGGTTCTGATAAGTCCCACAGAACGCAGACTGACCTGTCTGTTTCCCAAGGATGTGCGGCCGCAAAAACCTTTTTATCACCCAGCTCCACCTCCCAGAGAGCATGTGTTACGAAACGCTGCACGATGTGTCCATGAGCAGGAGCCTTATTATGAGGACAGTGTCCCCTGCCAGCTCTAGCTCTCTGCTCCAGGGACAGCCAAGGCCTGCCATTCTGCCTGGTCACACAGATTGAGTAAGTCTCCTGCCACCAAGGGCACGACTGTCAAGCCCAATACAAAGGGCAGAGCGCCCGGAGGAAGCTTCATGCTGTAGAAGTAGCTCAGCCACCTTCCCTGGAGGGCCCCTGGTTCCCGCTAAATAAAACCACTTCCTCGGTGAGACCAGAATTTCCTGCTGCTCGCTGGCTTGCTGCGGGCCTCGCAGTGCGATCTGAACTGTTTCTGCAAATAAATTACTCATGTTTGCTTGTCTACAATGGCCTCACCCCCTCACTACATACTGTATCAAAACAAAACAAAAAGCAAAGCCTGCCCGCAGCCCACCCACCCACCCCTATTATTAGAACTATTTTTATTACTTATGATTATTTACAGTATCTGCTACAGACTCACTAACTGTCCAGGGCTGTGGCTCTAGCTCCCCCTGAGAAGCCGGGAAGTGGCTGGGAATGAGGTGGGTTAGTGTGTTCATCGGCAAGGAGCAGAAGGCGGCAAACTTCCAGCCTCCAGGCAGGGAGTGAGGGTTAAAGGGCGCGAAGCTGTCCCCACTGCACCCGCCGTCCCGCGTGGCAGTCAGGAAGATGCCGGCAGGGGCTGAGCCTTGACCTTCACTGCCACCCCGGATACAAGCATCTCATTTTTATGCGCTGAGGAGGAAGCCTTTCTAGGTGGGGTTGTGGATGTCGGACTGGAGGTGTCAGCAGCAGGTGCTCGGCAATGTACCCTTCCTGACCCGAGGGTGCTGATCGGTCATAGCTCGTGCCCTCGCTTGGCCCGCTGAGCGCATGCCGGGGTAGAGGCAGCTGCTACCAAGAGGCCACCCGTGTTCGCCACATCTTGGGTCGGGCAGCGCCCTCGGGTCACCCCCCAAGGGAAGCAGCCTGACCCCAGTGTGCGGCTTTCACATCTGCCCCGAGGGAAATGCAGGTGTGTGGGAGGCGCGGACCATGCCAGCTGCTCATGAAGCGTCCAGAGCTCTGGTGAAGCCGGTGGCCGTTGGGGTTTGCTCACCTTCTCAAGGGCCAAGGCTACAAGTCTACTCAATGCTCTCTGCAGGGCCCACACGTGGGCCTAGAATATAGTAAATGCTCAATAAATAGCACGGCTCTAAAACGACAGCCAATTTGCCTTCCCAACTGGCACTGCCAGTTAAAAAGTCCCTTAAAAAAGCCTTTTCCATCAGACTGTTAATCCTGGTAAAAAACAAAACAAAAAACAAAAACTGCTCCACCCGGCTCTCTCTGTGGGTTAGAAAAAAAGATCACATTTCTTTAGTGCAAGGGACGTTCAGGTCGACTGAAAGTGATTTGGGATCTGTCCCTGTGAAGAGGCCTCTAAGCGCAAGAGCAATCTATTTCCTTCCAGCAGGATTTCAAGAAAGGCGGCGTCCGCACATGTCGCCAGGACTGTGCCCGCTGATGCCAAGAGAGGTTGGCATGGAGGAAGAACACCGGGCCCCAGAGGAGCTGGCACGGAGTGGGAACTGTGGACTTCTTCCGGAAGGGCATCAGCATGCTGCTCCCACAGAAATCAATCTATACAGAGACTGCATTTAAATAACTATAAATAATATTAGACTTTATGGAATGCACACTTCGTGGGATTGACCAGAACACGAGGAAAGCGGACAGCGCTGTGCTCCTCGCTCTCAGCCTGGACAAGGTCCCCAGCCAGCCCTCCACCAAGACAGCCGTCGTCCCCGCCAAGGATTTTTAAATAATTCTCACCATGCTGCTCGCAGCATCTTCTCCCAAAGAAATATTAATTTACAAAATAACCCAATATCCATAGAATTCTTCTGACAAATAAAAAAATCTTAAATTAAAAAGCATGACTCTCTCCCTGGCCCCGCCCTCCCCCCCGCCCCTTCACTCCAATTTCAGGTAGCTCGGCACTGAGTAATTGAACATTAAAAAGTCAAGTTTGTAGACTTCGTAGAGCTGCGTCTGGTGCTCCGAGCTGATGTTCTGGAAGAACTCCGTGGTCATCTCGTCAGTAGTTCGCGTGGACTTGGCGTAGGTGGGGAACTTCAGGTAGCTACTCACGCCCGCCAGCTGCAGGACAAAATTGGAGTCCTCCTCCAGGGTCTCGTACTTGCCCACGAGGTCATAGCGGATGTGGCACGGGTGGCAGAGGGAGTAGACGGTCTGCCAGTGCTCGTTGAAGGGCTCCTCGCGCTGGGTGTGCGGGTCGATGAGATAGGCCACGAACTCCTCGAACTTGACGTCGTCGCCCTTGCGCAGTGCCTCCTGGGTGGCGTTCTTGCGCTGGCGCCGTATGATCTTGGTGCCGTAGCGCTTGTGGAAGGAGGTGTTGTACTTCTGCGTGAACTTGTTGCGGTAGGCGGACACCAGCCTCTCGAAGGGCTCGCGGACGAACAGGAACTTCATGTAGCTCTTCAAGCGGTGATTGATCTCAGGGATGCTGTACTGGTTGAGGGTCTTCAGGTTGGCGGAAACGTGCGCCTCGTTGGCCGGGATCTCCATGGGGTTGCTGTACTTGCCGCGCCCCGTCAGCACCATCATGAGCCTCTTCCAGTTGGTGCACGCCACCTTGGGCACGTAGCAGTAGATGAGCTCGTGGTCCTCGTCCACCACCAGGTGCTTCAGGTCGCTGGGCGTCAGCACCCGCCGCTTGCGGCTCGTGACGCTGTTGGCCCGGCACGTGTCAGTCACCTGGTCCCGCCGCATCTGGTGCAGGACAGCAGTGTTGGAGAGCTCCAGCTGCAGAGGGGACACAGAGGGGTGAGGGTCAGTGCTCTCTGGGACATTGTCACATGACCACAGAGAATCATGGCTCCAGTCACACAAACACGCATGCACAAAGCCCTCTGCCACGCGGTGGCCACATGCATGAGAGGACAGATGACTGCTGGGGGAGATGTGCGTGTTCTAACTCTAACTCTCCCCCTGGAGGCCACGCACCAGTCCACAGCAGTCCTCCCGGTTCCCCTGGCGCACTCTGCCTGCTCCGCTACCCTGGTTTCCCTCCTACCCAAGAACACAGTCTCCATCCAGGACTGTACTCATCAGCGACTTATCCCCTCTGCTGGCAGGCAGTGGGGCTGGCTAGAGGTGGCCCCACGGAGGGCAGAGCTCTCACTCTGGTTCCTCCCTTTTCTCTCTGCTTCCTGGCTGCCCTGGGTCAAGCAGCTCTCCTCCATCAGGCCCTTCCACCATGCCGGTTCTGCCTCTGAGCCATTAGCCACGGACTGCATCCTCTGAAGCCATGAGCCAAAATGAACCTCTCTTTAACTTGTGGACACCAGGCATTCTGTCCCAGCAAAAAGCAGACAGACCACCACGTGAGTCTTTTTGCATTCTCATGGTCTGGTAACCCCACTTTTTCCAGCCTCATCTCTACGCCTTCATAATAAAAGGTACTCCTAGGAAACCAGGAACTTACTTTCACTTTATGCCCTGACCTTTCCTTGGACCAGGCCGCCTGGAGTCCTCCCCCCTCCACCTCCTCTTCAGGTGCAAGGTGACTGCCCTTCTAGCCCTGCACACTGCCTGGCCACTGAGTAGAAGGATCGTGCCTTCCCTGAATGCCACTGCCCACCGTGCTGCACAGCACAACTCCCTGCATCCTTTGCAGCTGGTTCTCTCAACTCTGGGGCCCATCGCTCCACAGGAATCATGGCACTCTCCACAGGCCAGACTCTGATGGCCTTGGGGTGCAGGAGGATCGGTGAAACCCCCCACCACCAGGTGAGGGTGGGACCCAGGAGGCCGGCCCTGTGCCCAGTCTGCAGGACTCACTGCAAACCCGGCAGAGCACCAGGAACCCAGAGGAGCTCCCTGGGACCTGCAGAACACCCCGCGGCACTGAACCCCGCGTTACAGCTCTGTGCCTGCCCCGCTCGCGGCCCCCAGGACGACAGGGACGGTGAGGATGGAGAAGGGACGGGGACAGCAGCAGGCGGTGTGACCAAGGTGCTGCGCCGCATGACGCCCTGGGCCTGACATCCCCAGAGTCATCCACCCTTGAGTGTCACTCGGGTGGCTTCACGGTGCCGGGGCAGCGAGGCTTGGCAAGGCCCCCGTGGGGACAGGAAGCGACTCTTATGAGCCTCACACGTGGCTGGCGGCTGCAGAAGAAGCCGCCGAGTGGGTTTCCCAGTTCCTCGGCGGGGGCTGTGCCTGGCTCAGCAGCAGCAGTCGGAGGAAGTGGGGACCAAGGTCTGGGGCCCAGCGTGACGCCTGCCTCCCTTTCCTCCTGCCGTGCTGCCCTCAGGCAGGCGAGATACGGCAAAGCCCCGCCTCCCACCAAGTGCCAGCCAGCCAGGGACACAGCCCCAGGCTTGACCCGTGGCGAGATCACCCGACTATCCACTCACAGAACACAGGCGCCGAGCGCTGAGGACGCTTTCAGCCACCAAGCGCCGGGCTCTGTTATCCAAACCTCCCAGTACAGAGGAGGCTGGAGAGGGTGGCAGTGCTGGTGCCGCTGGACAGGCTCCAGAGAGCTGGGCAGTGTGCATGGGCTGAGCGTCTCTAACCCAAAATGCTCTAAAATCAGAAAAATTTCTGAGCAGCAACCAGGTGGGAACATTCCACAGCTGACCTCAGGTGATGGGTCTCAGACCACGAATCGGAAACACTGTATAAAATGCCCCTCGGGCTGTGCACAGGAAACCTAAAATGATTTCTGTGTTTAGGTTTGAGTTCCATCCCCAAGGCGGCTCACGATGTACAAGCAAATACGCCAAAATCCCACCCCCAAATCCCAAATGCGAAACACTTCTGGACCTACGCCTTGCGGATAAGGAACACCAACCTCTGTGCCTTAAGATTCTGCTTGGTAAAACTGGGTGGCCTGGGAGAGTTTCCCACATTGAGAACGACGGGCAAATTATTGACTTTCGGTTATCCACAGGCGACACCACCAGTCAACACAGTTGTCCTCACAAGGGGCACGGAGAGGGGCGGTGTGCACAGAGACCTGGGCACTGGCTCCAGGACTCACTGTCCTGTCGAGATCCCTCCTGCCCTCCCGGGAAAGAGGGCATCGACTGCCACTTCCACACCGGGCACAGCCCAGCTGGCGCAGGGGCGTCCAGTGGCGGCTGTGCATTCTGACCCGGTCCCACAGAGAATCCACCCATGCTCGCGGCCAGCACGTGCCCTGGTGAAGTTGTGCTGCCGAGGCTCAGCTCCTGACGGCCGGGCACCTGCCAGTCCAAGTCCCTAGTGGTGCCGCTGTCAGCGCTCCAGGGCCCAGAGGCGCTGGGAATGCGGGGAAACACAGAACGTGAGAGGCCAACGTCCCCTTTCTCTCCCACGCAAGGTCCATCTGGAGGGCGACGATGTCCAACAGGGGCTGTGCAGGCTCCCTGGGTGCCAGGGCTGCACGCTTGCTACAGATGGACTCACTTCCTGTCACCGGTAAGCCCGGGCGCAGGCAGCACGAACCCCCTCGAAGAGCAAGGAGCTGTCAGGATGGCCCACAGGGAAGCCGACATCCAGGCGGTCCGCGAGCTCCTCCTTGCTGGCTGTGTCTTGTCTCCCCGAGAGCTGCTCCCAGCCCCTGGCAGCTGGTCTCAGCAGCCCCACTGTGCCCACAGGAAGTGGGCCAAGAGGGGAGGGCGTCTGTGACAGCAGGGGCGGGACTCTCGTGCCCCGGCTCACACTTTTCAGACCTCACCGGCGGGTGTGAGCAACGTGAAGTCAAAGCGTCGACTTCCCAGGGCTGGAGCGACAGTGCTTCCAGAAGCACAGCACACAGGCGCTGCTCGATAAACCTTCGCTCAGTGGCTGAACGGATGAGTTACTAATATCCATATGGCACCTTGGGAGGAAGTAGCAAAGCCCCTCCCAGTGCAGCTCAGGAGAACTCCCAGATGTTCAAGGCATCAGAAAGCTCTCAGGGAGGGGCCGCGCAGGACGGACGGTGTCCCCTGAAACTTCATGTTCACCCAGGGCCCCGGAACCTGGCCTTCCATGGGAAGAGGGTGTGTGCAGACGCCGTTAGTTAAGGGAGGCCCTGCTGGGCTGGGGTGGCTGGGGACCCAGAGATAGCGTCCTTATACGAACAGATCGCAGGGGGTCAGCTGCCAGCGGGAACAGGGGTCGCCAAGCATGGCAGCAACCACGGGAGAGAGCAAATCAGACCCACGAGACAGACGGCCAGGAGCCTCCAGACGAGTTTCGCCCTCGCCCACTGAATTCTATTAGTATTTGTTTGGTGCGGGAAAACCGACCTTTGGGCCCCGACTGCACGGCAGAAGTGCCCGTCCTGAAGAGGGCATCCAGGGCTTCTTCAGTTACTCAGTGATGCCGACGAAAGAAAAGGAGAAAGCCGGCCCTGGGGAAACGGGGTACAGGAAGCAGGGGTGGTCGGAGCCGCCACAGAAACGCCCAGGCCGATCCTGAAGCCATGAGCCGCTCGGCGGCAGGGAGCGAGGGGCCTCCTCTGTCCCTTCTTCCAGCTCTTCTCAGGTGGAGACGTGTCCGGGCCACCTGAGCCCCCAGGGAGGCAGCGTTTCAGCGATATCACACCAGGCCTCATGGGCGGGAGAATCGGAAACGACAGCCTCTGTTTCCTTGCAAAAGCAGAAAGAAACCCCGGAGGGGAGGGATTTGAAACGCGGCGTCTGGTGTCCTCCTCCTCCGTTTCTCTTGGCTCTTGTGTGGCGGTTCAGGACGCTGAGGGTGCATCTGCCGGCGCTGGTCCTGAACTTGCCATCCTCCCGCCTCAGCCACCCGAGTATCTGGGATTACAGCTGTGCACCCCGGCACCCCGACGAAGTGTTCAATTTTTAAAAGAGGTACTTAAATTTTTCCGTAATTTTTATTTGTGAATAATTTCAGACTAGTGATGACTGATTAAAAATAGAATTAAAGACGCACAAATATAAAGCCAGACATTTGAAGATAAGACCAAAACAGATGCAGACACTCAGGTGATCACGTTGTCTTCCGGAACTAAAGCCCTGCTTGGCCCGCGTGGCGTTGCCAACAGCTGAAGGTGCACAGTCCCCGCTCCTGGGCAGCAGGAGGACTCGGCCTCGCTGTGGGTCCCTCATTCGCATCACCTTGAACCCCGACCCTGCACCCACCGGCCTCCTCCTGTGCGAGCTCACGGCTGCGACGTCCTCTCTGCGGTTTCTCGGTGCTTGGCAGTGGCACCCGGAAGCACTCGGCTCTGGGGAGCAGGCCTGGCATCCAGCGATGGGCTCGCTCCAGGGCCCACGGTCACCCCAGCGGGCTCCTGCGGTCGCTTCCTGCAGGCCCGGGGCCCCACGTGAACGCCCTTACTTTTACCTCCTCTCCTCTTCGAAAATCCCACCTCCAGTGACAGACCCACGCCAAGGTCCTGGGGTTCAGAATCCCACGTGGGGCTCATGTGGGGGCACACGATTAACCCAAAACGCCAGCGCACACGAGGCTGCCGGGCCTGGGAACACACGCTGAGAACCACAGCTCCAGGCTGCGGGGAAATGACTGTGATCTCGTATCTCCCGTCACCTCACAGCTCCCCCTAATGACAGAACACGGAACCCGGGTCGCCATCCGCGAGGGGCGCTCTCGTGTCTCCCGCACACAGTCTCTCTGCAGGACAAACGAGGTCGGGGCGGCTGGCCTAGTGTTCTCATTTGTACATAGTTAAAGGGAACTATAATTAGTTTTAAGCACCACATTTAGGGAGTGTTTGAAAAAGTCTTTAAGATCTTCCTCGGCTGCATCTTAAAAGGCAGCGCTTGTTTCCCATAAATGCGAAC